GCCCCCAACAAATCAATAAAAGTCATGGTTGTGATTACTATGTGATAAGGTATGCTAAAGATATTATTACTCACAGTATTATCATTTTGTATAAAATTATTTCTTATATTATAATGAATATTAATTATCATCAACTAACTTTATTGTTATGTATGTTGTAGTACTATCCAAACTATACTACATCGTTTCGAGGATGCTCATATTAATAAAGTCCTCGAAGACTAGAGCAAATATGCATATGAAAAGTAGGTCACATCTAATATAAGGTGATAATATATAGTTAGTTTAGGAATATATTAGTTTAGTTGTCAATATATAGTTTAAATATTTTAGGAATTGATATTTTAGTTCAAATTGATTCATTTATATCATTGAATTTTAAATAGAATACTTTTGATGTAATTAAATTATAAACATTATAAATTTGAATTGAGTAGTGTAGATATGATTTTTGAGTTGTTTTGAAATACTTTTGAGTATATCTATTTTTGTATTGCAAGGGGCTTGCTTGAAAAGCAACCTCCTTATATCAAAACAAACTTAATCTTATAGGATGATCATAAGTATAACCGTCTTATAAGGCCTCTATGGTTTTAGATTTGGTATAAATCTAAAACTTTATATGAGATGGCTATTTAATAACCGTCTTATATTATCTTCAATATAGGATGGTTTGATAACTATTTTATATAGCTTGGGCAATAAATGACAGTTGACAAACATCCATGTTGAAAAAATAATCATTCTTTTTTGTCAAATATGTTATAGTTAGCTTCTCTAGCTTTCAATTCTTCACATTTTAATGGAATCAGACTTTCAATTATGTACCAAGTGTAAGTAATACAAACAATGAATGTATGATTTGCTTTGTAATTTGATGTGCACATAACTTATAAAGGTTCATGATCGCCATAGAAGCGAGATCCCTCGCTTTATCTTAAATCACTTCAAGGAATCCAAATTATGGGAATCACCAATGTCCTCGGATCCAAAATATTTGTTATTGGGCTGCTTTTATTCCTGCATGCGTTACCAATTTGATTCTTCTTTACCTCTTCTACGTACTCTTTTGCTTTGTGGTCGTGTTTTTTTTTTTAAATAAATTTTTATGTTCTCAATTGGCTTCAACTTTCTTATCTTTCACTTGAAAAGCTTTCTTCACCAAAGCATATTTTTTATTTGGGAAAAGCAAGATGCGACCCACTATCCCTTGCACCTTCTGTGATCTTTTTCACTTTTAGATGTAACTCCAAATTGCAGATTCCACTCTTGTTGAAGGTTGATTGTAAATCAGGAAGCTAAGATTCCAAATAGGTTGATACCAAAATTGAATTAATGGTCTCTTCTGTTCAAAAACGGCATATTAAAATTTATAAAGAATTGCGGCAAGTTTCTTAAGCTAGCAATGAATTTTGTGATATTAATTGTGTGGTGGGGTATTTTAAATTAATTTTTCATAAAATTTATATATCACCTATGGGCCCAATGTGCCGTCATACTTCCTAGAATTAATTTATCTTCCTGATCCCTGTAAATATTTTCCCATAATAAATAAAAAAAGACAAATGCCAAACCAATTATATCTGGAAAACCAAACCAAAATTAAGTAATCAAATAATGAATTTGAATATGTGGTAATTAAAACTTTTATGGCAATCAAAAGGGCATCCTATCGATCTCGATCTTGAACATGTGTGAAGACTGTATGTTTCGTTTGCGTTAGAAAGGAACAAAATGAAAAAGATGATGGAAACATATATTATTTAATAATAACTATAAAAATGCAATGAATGATCCAAAATGATCAAAGCCACTTTCTATAATGCATTATCAACTACATGTTTGTGATTCCACAAGATGGCCACTCATGCAGATTCTATTAGTGGCACAAGCACAACTTCAACTTACTACTCCATCTTCTCACCATAAACAACCTTCTCACACCATGATCTTTTGCCTTTGGAAAATTTGGTTAAAAAAGCATGTTCAAGGATACCATTTTTAAGAACTATTTTGTTACACTGATCAAATTGCAATAGCTTTTCAAGATTAAATTAAGTCATCTTGCAAAACCAAGATAACAAAACAATAAAAATATAAATAAAAAAAAATAGAGCTCAGGAGGGAGAAGAGAAGGCTCAAAGACTCAAGAGCGGTGTATTTAAATAAGCAATGAGCATTGACTTAATTAAGCCAAAAATTTATGGGTGATTTGAGTACTATTAAATATAGGTTAATGAATTTAAATATAATTAAGTACGACTTGATGACCATTAAAGATTGTTTCTAAACATTGTAATTGAAATTATTTAACGGTGATTAAAGTGCTTGACACCACATCTAACTCGTGCACAAGTTAAAAAACTAAATCTTGACTATATTAGTCCATTCACCACAACAATTTTTACTTTAGGCAATAATTTTATTTGCAACAGTTTTAAAAGTGTTGCTTAATATGGGCATCAACAATATTTTTCATATGTTGCTATTGTTCCTATACTTTAAGCAACCTAATTTTGACAACGTTTAAAAATTGTTCCCCAAAATAGAATAAACATTAATTTTCAAGTGTTGCAATAATTTTTTTAAATAGGCAATATAAAAATTGTTGCTTATAAAGGATCTTTTATGGAAACATTTTAAAAATGTTTCTTATTCAAATAGGCAATAAAAATGTAAATGTTGCCTATAGTTTCTCTTTAGGTAACATTTAAAAATTGTTGCTTGTTGTTTTTCTAAACAAAAAAATTATTTTAAATTTATTTTTACAATTTTTCTAGATAATTTATTTATTCATTCTCTTAATTTTTCAATTCATTATTTGGTTAAATTAAAAAATTAATTTATTTTGCATTATAATATAAAAAAGTCAAGTTAGAAGAGTAGTTGGAGACACTTATTCCTTTCAATAGGTTCTAGGTTCGAATCTAGATAGAGGAAGGAAATATTAAATTTTAATTATTTAACTATTTCACAACAATTTTTAAATGTTGCCTATTTTATGTGATATGCAACATTTGAAAAGTGTTGCAATAGATCTTTCAAAAACTGTTGCCTATTCTCATAGTTTTAAGCAACAATTTTATAAAGGTTGTGGTCAAAGATAAAAAAATTATTACTTAAAGTAATAGGCAACACTTAAATTGAAAACACTTGAAAATTATTGCCTATAACTTCAAGCAACATTTTTCATGCATAAAGCAATACTTTTGAATTGTTTCTAGACAATATAAATGTTGTAGTGATTATTATGCATGTGAACCCACTTCTCCCCTTAACCCATTTACCTGCTCAAATTCTTATCTTAGTATATATAACTAAAGCTCCTTAAGTTTAAACAATGTAAGGCTTATTTTGACACACACAAACACAAACTCCAACACTATATAGGGTTAAAAGTTCAAATCTTATAGATGAAAAGGATAAGATACTAGAGTTTTTTTTTTCCTATTTAGACTCAATAATACCTGAATGTAGTCCAATAATAACAAATAAGAGATAATTATACTCAGTGGCGGAGCCAGGATCTTGGATCAAAGGGGGCAAAGCCAGGACCTTAGTACAAGAAAAACATTTTTATCTTTTCAAAATCCATTAAATTTCTTTCTTTTTTCTTTGTCTTTGTTTCTTAATTTAACTTTTAGTTATAGATTTGCAAATGTAGTGAGTTAGCAAAATGTATTCAACGAGTTTATTTTTGATTCTTGAATTTTCATTCTTTGTTGTCTTTTTTCCTAACTAATATTCTTAAGATGAGGATGAATGCTGGTCTAGTTTAATTAAATTATTTTTTTTTCTATTTTTTGAACAATTAATAAATAATATCTACATTTAGTTGTGACGAAATTATGAGTTAATATTCACTAGACTAAGTTAAAAAATTAAATTTTAATTTGGGTTAAATGTAACATTGAAATGGATTTAAAGTTTAAAATATTAAAATATGGGGGGTGCAAGGTATTAAAAAAAGAAACAAATTATAAAATATAAAAATATATGCCCCAAATATGCTATTTTTCCCAAGTGAGGGGGTAAATGCCCCCTCAGTAGCAGATGGCTCCGTTACTGATTATACTGAATAAACAAAATAAATAAAGAAGAGATGAATTTGAGAGAACAAAAAAGATTCGAGAGGAAACAACTAAAATTAAATGAGCTGTGAGCCATATTACAAAATATGGGTTCGATATGTAATTTTATCTTTCTTATTACTCTTCACATTTATTTCATCACCCTCATGCCAAATAGACGTCTGTTCATTTCTCGTGTGCTTCGGAATGCACCATCATTTTGGTCTGGTGCCCCTAATAATACACTATAGACCCCTTGCTGATGTTAATTTTGAGTTGGGCTTCGATATGTAATTTTATCTTTCTTATTACTCTTCACATTTATTTCATCACCCTCATGCCAAATAGACGTCTGTTCATTTCTCGTGTGCTTCGGAATGCACCATCATTTTGGTCTGGTGCCCCCGATAATACACTATAGACCCCTTTGCTGATGTTAATTTTGAGTTGGGCTCCCCTCGAGTTATTGGGCTTTTGAATTTTTGTGACTTGGGTAACAAATTAAAACAAAGTTGAATTTTATTGGCTAATAAATTAAATTTTTTAATTTTTAAACCTATAAAACATATGTGGTTAAAAATTCTAAACACTAATTTTTTATTTGTAATTATATCAAAAATTAAAATTATTATTTTTTTCTTATAATATAATTTTCTACTCCACAAGTTAAAGAACTCTAAATAATTATGTACAATAATATTTAAATAAATAGTTTAAAACTATTATGTTAAAATTAATAAAATTCATAAAAATAAAAATAAACTATATTGACTAATTTATATTTTTTTAATAGGAATGAAAAACTCTATTAATAAACAACTAACAATAGAAATAAGATACAATGGAACAGAGGAGGACCTCGATCAACCTCTAATTCTTGTAAAAGAGGTGGTGGGTGATTAAAAACAAAAAACAAAATTCTCCTCAATCTTATGGAAAAATCTAGCAAGGCTATTAGTCTCTAAAATATTATCATCTATACATGAGTCAAATAAATTTGCTAGTCTTTGAAGAATAACATTTTGACTTCCTCAACTAAGTCACTGAAGGGAAATTAGGATCACAACCCTTGTAATCAAATTAAAAGCTTCAACACAACTAGAGTGGACTTCAACTTTGGTACACCTTCAAGCCCAACAAAGGCTCAAGCCATTAATCATTGCAATCATCTCAGTTATCACAGGAGGGACAAAATTCAGCTCACAAGTGAAGCCACAAATCCAATTCTTCTTGTCATCCCTTATAGTTCCCCCACACTCGCTGCTGCCATCCATTAATACACAGATGGAGAACCCTTTTCTACTGAATTGAGCTTTCGCATTGATAGAGTTATTCTTAAGGCAGAGAATTTAGTTACCAGATCCTTATCCATAGTTGCTGGAAAAAGACTTTGATAAGCATTTGATGCTCTGTCCTCGTACTCTCCTCCAAAGACTCTATTACATCTGGTCACCCATATGTCGCAACCAACATACCCAAAAAGAGTAGGCCATGGTATCTTCCCGGAGAAACTTTGCCCTCCTTCATTTCTGAGATTCCATTTAATCCAATCTACTCCCTGTAACCATGAAAATTAGAAAATATATCCTAGTGCCCAGGCTTAATTACTGACCGCCACCTATTGATTGCATCGTCAAATTTTAATAAACAGGTTTATTAAATTTTTTAGTTTAATAAATGGAAAATAAAAAAATAAAAAACATTACATTTGGACAGTTTAGATTTAATATGAATGATTTAAATACATGTCTCCCTTAGCGGAGGAGTGGCTGCCCTTATCTGAGAGAAGCCGAGTCCCATTAGGATTAATAGAAGGCAAAGTTGTTCAGCTATAAGGGAAAATCTTTCTTAGACACAATTGTTTGGTACACCAAGGAGAAAGCAATATCCAAGTTACTATAATTGGATCATACCGGGTGGTCTAAAAGGTTTATGAAAGAAAAGAAAACTTAAAATCAGCATTGAAGAAGAATTCACCCAAAGGCAGAGAAAATTGGCGTGCTGTATGTGCAACTAGATTGCATGCATTGAGGCAGTCTACAAAGGCAGGATCTTCAAGTGAACCAATTGCGGAAGGGGTGGCTGAAGATGACTTTAGACGCTTTTCTGTTACAATAGCTGCTGGTTCAAGTTCCTTAAATTCACTACAGCATGTATTTGAATAGGAGGCTAAATAATTTCCCATTCTCCTGCATATATTTGAATCTCTCTTTTATAGTAGTAGAGATTTAAGATACCATAAACCTTTCAAAAATCCTTCCCTTTTGCTACAAGGCAATTTTGTCTTCGTGGCTGCCTTCGAGTATGCATCAAGTATATTGCTAGAGTTAAACAATTGTATAAGCCATTGAGTATACTGCAATTAAGATACATTAATAAGAAAAGAAAAGCAAGTTGGCAGTCCAGGCTGGATATGATGAATTAGTCCATAAGCATGTATTAACTAAAAATTTGAGCAAAATATGCAAGGAAAAAACAACAAAGGCTTGACTGAGAACAATATGTTACCTATTAAAGAGATTTGCTGCTTCTTCACTTTCATCTGAATTGTAAAACCGTATACCATTAACTTCTTTTTCAGCGTTCCTAAATAATAAGTATGGCCTTTTCAGTTCACACTCAAAATCCAATAGATTTTCCACTAGGTTATCTCCCTGAACAAAATTTAGATAGAAAAAGTGATTCAGTAGAAACAAATAAAAAAGAAATAAGATTAAGTGTAAGCAGATCAGAAGAGCCTCTATTTCTTCACAATCAATAAGTATTAAAATTGTCAATGAGACAATGATAAAATAGCTAAGAGGGGCATAATATGCAGAAACAATAAACTCCAAACAAAACTAACCACAAAAGCTTATTCCAATCTAGAATCCACTATGGCAGGTTGGTATTCAGAGTTGGTACCAGAAATTATTTATTAAGGGTACATGCTTAAAGAGGCTAACGTGTGTCCTTGTCATCATCTGGCATTTAAAACGAAAATAACACATATAAGTTGCAGAGCAATCAAATGGAATATTTTCATCATGCCTTTCTAAACATGGCATCTTGTTCCTGATGGTTGTAAAATTTTAAATACCAGATTGTCACATCTAAAAATGCGACGCGGACAACTTGTGAGGGCGGAGGTTTCGACCTTCAGGACGAAAATCGATTGAATGGGAGTCGTCACTAAAATTTTGAGAAAAATTTTGGAAAACCATTTAAAAGAGATAAAGATGATTTATGAAATCAGGAAATAAGTTCGAGAGTTGGTTGGGTGTGGAAAAAGTGTTAGGCACCTCATAATGCCCGTTCATAAGAATGGTTATCTAAAGTTCATTGTGCTAAATTAATATTGCTTTAAGGTTATTTGAATTATCCCTTTCTTATTCATATGTTTGATATAAAAAAATAAAATAAAATAAAGAATATTATTTACTTATAAGGGAGAACTTGACTCAGAATCAGACTCTGAGGCCTACGTACTCTATAATGGGGATCAAAGTCTATGTAGTTCGGGATTAAAACTTTGTTGGTGAAAATATTTTTTGAAGATAAATTAATTAAAAATAATTCATTATTTTGCAAATAAAAAATTTTCTAAAATTTTGATATGCATGTTTTAAGATGCAAAAAGTAAATTAATTTTAATTATTTTTGAAATTTTTGAAATTTTGAAATAAGAAAAAGGAAAAAGAGTTTAAAATTATTTTTTATATTTATTATTGAAAATTTAATCGCTATGCCTACAGAGCCTTATTGATTTATACGATAATACAATTATTTTAAATATCTGTGGAGATTTTAAAATTTCACACGATAAAAGAGTTTAACAACTTAATTTATTTATTTATATTTTTAAGTATTAATACTATTTTTTAAGCATGCATATATTTTTTTTAAAACTCTTAATTATTATACTTGAGAAGTCTTATTGATTTATATGGTAATATAATTATTTTACATATTTGTAGAGATTTAAATTCTCACATGAGAAAAGAATTAAATTTATTTAAATATATTTTTATTATTTATTTGATTTATTATATGCATGTAATGTATATTTTTTATATGAAATCCTAATCGTTATAACTAAGAAGCTTTATTAACTCACGTGATCATATGATTATTTCAGAGGTCTACGGAGATTCAAAAATCTCATATGACTAAAAGATCTTATTAGTAAATGTGATTATTTCAATTTAATTTTTATTTAAAAAATGTTTATTATTTATTTACAAATTCATTTATTTATTTACTATAGAGATTGAGAATTGCGATATTTACAAGGACTTATTATCCTATACGATAATGTACTTAATTTAATTATCTATAAAGATTTTTAAAATTTCACATGAGACTTAAATATTTTATTAATATAAAAAGTTAATTTTAATGATGAGCCTTTAAAACCCATATTTAATATATAAGTTTATATATATAAGTTATATTTTTATACCTGCAAAATCTTATTGATTTATATGGTATGAGATCATTTTAAATGCCTATGAAGACCCTTAGAATCTCACATGGCAGATAAATAATTAGCAAATATAACCCCTAATTCATCATCATTTTTTCTTTATCTCAATTGGAAGACAAATCCAGTTCATTTCTCGATTCTTGTCATACTAACATTGTAGACCAGCAAGGGACCTTTTAGATTGATATATAGACTAGAAGTATGTGGTCACACATATGCTTTTTTCATGCTAAAAAAATATTTAAAATCTAATTCAACATCTAATCTAACAAACACAACATTTCCTTCCTGTTTGAGACAAAACTGTGACAGGAAAATATCCAAAAATCAATTCAAACAAGTTATGATCACAAAAAAATGTTATTGTGAGCCTCTCTTTTTTAAACAACTACCACATCAATTTCTTCACTATCCTTGGCCAAAACATGATAGGAATATGCCAACAATCATTTCAAACTAATTAGTACAGCACGCAATATCTTTATTTGAAATCTATTTTCTTTTAAGAACAAACACAACAATTTCTTCATTGATTTAGAGCCAAAAAAATGACAGTATAGTGCCCAAACCAGATCAAACATTTAGGACAACAAATCATATTTTCATTTGGAGTTTCCACCTACATGTAGTACATATTAAAGGCTTGCTGAAAATGATTAACTACAGCAACTTGGCTTGAATTACATGGAGAACCACAATCATACTGATAATAGGCATTAACCAAGACTCAGATCAGGTACCATCAAACAATATCAACAACTTTATTTAAGAGAAAACCATGATGGGAATATGCGTTTAAATTGGATCAAGTCAAATCGAATAGCAAGCATAAATTTTATTCAGCATCCCCCTTTTAACAACAATCATCACATGTTCTTCACGATTTAGGTGACATAATCAATCAAACATCAAAGACATTCAATATATATTAAAAATTTGATGAACATGATTAATTATAGCAACTGGACAGCAACTATCAATGATCAAACTTGTAACGAGAATAGTCCAAGACCAAACTCAATCAAGCAATTTCATCACTATTTTTTTTTTAGCCAAAACAATGACAGGAAAAATGCAAAAAAATCCATCTTCTGAAATTTAGATGCCTTTGAACATGCATGAATAATCGAAGTAGAACAAGCATCTCAACAACACAGGTCAGAATTGAGAGAATCTCATGCCAAATTCTCTATCCATCCATTCTTAAAAAGTATATACACATAGAGGATTTGTCAAAGAATTGACAAATTCTATAAACAAGATGTATTAATCGAATCCTTTCTAAAGCAAACATCAATCTCATGTTCAAAAATCTCTCATGGTCCCTAACTCTGATCAAAGCTTTATGATATTTAAACATAAAATTTGTTTGGAAATGAGAAATCGAAATCAAATATAAAACATTCCAAATCCAAAAGCTAGCAGATTAGGAAACCTGTGCAATGCCTCTTCCTCCTCTTGATATCCCAAATCTGCTTCTCTGCTTCTGCCTGGATCACTCTCGGTTTCCTCTCTTTGATTCTACCTTTACCATTTTCTCTAAAAACCATATCCTTCTAGAAATCTCCCTCAATCTCCCTCTAGTTCTCTCGGTCCTCTCCAGAAAAAATCGCTCACCCTCCTCTATCTCTCTTTTAAAGAAAGTCTCTAGAAAATTCCCCTTCCAGCTCTCTCTCGATTTAGTCCTTTTGTAGATGAAGATGACCATAAATTGATGAAATCTTACTAGATTTAGCCTTCTCCTTTAGCACACGACGTAGTCTTTCATCTGCCAAAGCCACTGCAAACCTCTGCTACTCCTCTCTTTTTGAAAAGTTTTTCTCCTTTAATCTTGAAAGCAGACACAAGAAATCTGAAACTTGCGTGTGAGGCGGCAGGCAGTTGCATGCCGGACTCTTCCTTTTGATTGCGATTATGGAGAATCAGGAAGAAAAATGCTTTGCTCCTCTTCTCTTGTGTGCGTGACTGGCGTTTCTATAGAGTAAAGCTTTTTGTTCTACCTTTCTCTGCGTTTTTCCTCCTCTTTACCATGTGTGGCCGAAAGTCTTCTCTGCTTCCTTTGCTCGGGCAAGCCAAAGGGAAATGAGGGTTGAGAGATTAGCGTTTCACTCTCCCTAATTTTTTTTTTTGTTATGTTAATTAATTTTAGAAATCAAATTAAGAGAGAAAAGAAATATGATTTTGAAAGCCAGGATATCTTTTTTTTTTTTAAAGGAAAACAATCAAGATTTAAGAAAAGAAATTTTAAAAATTAAACTCTTAAAAAAACTGATTCTCTTAATCTTTGAATTGTTGAGATAATTTAGGAGAAATTTTTAAAAAATTTAAGCAATATTTTTTTTAAATTTTGTTAGATTATTATTATTTTTGAAAATATAATCCTAAAAAGGATTAAATTTTATTTTTATATTTTACATTTTTTAATTATTTTAATGAACTAAAAGAAATAAAATCCTAACCAATAAAAGATTATCTAGGTTAAAGTAAAATTAAACCCTCTTAATTAAAGATTTTTTTTATTTTATCTAACTAAAATCTCATTTTTTTTGTTGACTTTATTATTATTTTTATTAAAAAATACTTGGATAAAATATGGTGTTTACAGTTGCGTCTTTTTACTTGTTTCTTATGTAAGTATATGAAAAAGTGTGGTTTTTGAATTCTTATATAAGTGACAAGTAAAGATAGAATATATATTTTGGTCGGCCATGCAATATATATGAAATGACCTAATTGTCCCTGACACGACTAAATATGATTAAATGTGAGACTATTGGCTAAAAAACACAATGACCTTTTTTTTTGTTTTAGCAATGTGACGAGGTGATGTGATGTGAATGACCAAATAAAATAGAAAGATGCTGTAAACAATTGACAATGATCCAAACAAAATATATGTTGACTAGATGCCCCTTTTCATTTGATTTCTAAGTGAAAATTTCATGAGATGATATTTTTATTTTAGAAACGAATGAAGAAAGAAACATGTATTTTGTTTGGAAGGGCAAGACTACTAGATAACTAAAAAATTTATATTTGAAGGTGAAATTTTATTTAACAAATAAATAAAATAAAACCTCAATGGAGATGAATTGCTTATATTCCAAAGGACTTGGGTAGATGCCTACTTTACAAGGCTTTAAAAGAATAGTGCCTATCGTTACAAGACTTTTAAAAGAATAGTACCAATCTCTATTGGGCTTTGAGGGTGCCTGTCGTTACAAGGCTTTAAAAGAATAGTGCTAGTTGGTATTGGGCTTTGAGGGTGCCTACCGTTACAAGACTTTAAAAGAATAGTGCCTGCCGTTACAAGGCTTTAAAGGAATAGTACTAGCCGGTTCTGGGCTTTAAGAGTACCTGCCATTACAGGGCTTGAAAAGAGGTGCCAGTCAGTACTGAGTTTAGAGGGTGCTTGCCGTTACAAGGTTTTAAAAAGGGTGCTAGTCGGTACTGGGCTTTAAGGGTGCTTACCATTACAAGGCTTTGAAAGAATAGTGCAAATTTTGAGGGTACCTACTGTTACAAGGCTTTGAAAGGAGTGCCTGTCATTATAGGACTTGAAAATGAGTACCAGCCGATACTGGACTTTGAGAGTGCCTACCATTACAAGGCTTTGAAAGGAGTGCCAGCCAATATGAGGCTTTGAGGGTGCCTGCCGTTATAGAGCTTTGAAAGGAGTGCCTGCCATTACAAGGCTTGAAAAGAATAGTGCCTGCCGTTATAGGGCTTTTAAAAGAATGTATGATCTTTAAAAGGGATATAAGAAAATGTTTCATTCCCCTTCACAAATTCTAGATAATTCGTACAGATGAGTAGTGCATAATTCACATTTGATGCTTATTGATGTTTCTTTTCTCACTTCCATAGGTTTTCAATTTCTTCTTGCCTTATTATTCTCTTTGTTTTTTTTCCCCAATTTCAAATGAAGCGTATTTTCTATGGCAAGGAATACAATGCGGTAATGTGCAATGTATGATTTTTTATTATTATTTTTTATTTTCCCTTAATCGAAATGGATGCTAAAAAAATTTTGTGCAATATACCATGGATGGATGATTTGCGATGCAAAAAGTTTAAACCTTTGTTTGCCTCAATTCATGAGACTTCTTCTCTCTCTCTCTCTCTCTCTCTCTCTCTCTCTCTCTCTCTCTTTTATGTAATAGATGCAAAGGGTGATGCATGATGCATAATTTCCTTATTTGTCCCAATGCAAATGTATTGCAAGTCTTTTATTGGAAAGTTTGATGTTAAAAATCATTTTAATTATTAATATATATATTTTTTAAAGACTCTCGTGCATATCGAATAAAATTATTTTGAACACAAGGTAATACGTCAAAATCTATTATTAAATCTTTATTCATTAATAGGTGTAGTATCATAGTATGTTATTGCCCCTCTTTAGAAAATTCAAATGACCAAATCCACACCACTTAATCTTGCTCACAAGCAAATGAGATTAACTTTTTTGATCGAGTATTGATAGCACCCATGCTCTTGATGTCACTTTACACCTGCATGATGATCTTGATACCTCAAGGGCTAAAAGTAAGAATAAAGATACCTTTACGTCAAGTAAATTTATCAATAAATATTGTTCCTTGAATGTGAATTTGCTGAAATATATGACATATGAATTCAAAGGTGATAACACAAAAAAAAAAACAGAGATGAAAGATGATCTCAAAGGAATAAGGTTGAAAAAAATTCATTTTTTAATGTAAAAGTTCATAGAGAAATGGGAATGTCTAAGTTCTAGAGTACAAATGGCTTAAATACAAATGGAATGTGTGAATCCACTTAATCACACATCCTCCTCCCTTGGATTTTTCATGACCCCAACAAGTGTTATCATTGATATGCATAGTGTGAGGGATAATGGAGCTAACCTTTTCAAACGTAGGTACTTAACTTCTTATGCCCTCCTTTCCTTTCCTAAGTCATCCTTTTGACCTGGTGAACTCTTGTTCTTCTTCTTGTTGCTTTGCTTGTTCTTTGCTTTTACTTTTTCTTAGGTTGCCTTTGTAGGTTTTCAACCTAACGAGCTCTTCTTTCCTTTTCATTTTCTATTGGCTCTAACTTTTGCTTAGGTTGTCTTTACAGGTTTTCAACCTAGTGAGCACTTCTTTCTTTCTTTTTTCAAAGCATAATAATGCTTGACAGCATCTACATTAATGGGTTTTGCTAACTCTTGACCTTTCATGTCAGTTAGGATTAGTGCTCTTCCAAAAAAGGCATGTTTGACAATATAAGGCCCTTATGGGTTAAAGCCTATTTGCCTCTATTATCTTCTTAGTTAGGCAATATTTTCTTGAGTACAAGATCACTAGCATTGAATTCTCTTGGGCGAAGCTTTTTATTAAAGGCTCTTACCATTTTCTTTTAGTACAGTTGTCCATGACATTTTGCAGTAAGCCTTTTCTCTTTAATCATGTTGAGTTGCTCAAATCAGGTTCGTACCCATTCATTTTCTTCTAAATCTGCCTCAGCCAATACTCTTAAGGATGGAATTTCCATCTCAATGAGTGTGACAGCTTCCATTCTATAAACAAGGGAGTATGGGGTTACTCCTATGGGTATGCATATAGTAGTACAATAACCATATAAAGCATAGGAAAGCAACTTATGCCAATCCTTATAAGTTACTGTCATTTTTCTAATGATCTTCTTAATATTTTTATTGACTGCTTCAACTGCTCCATTCATTTAGGGTCTATATGGGGTTGAATTATAATACTTGATTTGGAACTTTTCATAAAAGATTCTGACTTCCATTCCATTGAGATTGGGACCATTATTTATAATAATACTTTCAGGAGTCCCATATTGGAAAATAATATTTATCTTTATGAATTTGAGGAATACTTTTTATGTGATGCTAGCAAATGAATTTGCCTCTATCCATTTAGTGAAATAATCAATTATGACAAGGATAAAGCAATGTCCATTTGAAGCTTTTAGATTAATTGGACCAATAATGTCAATTCCCCACATTGAGAATGGCTAAGGTGATTCCAAATTATGCAATAAAATTGGGAGAGCATTTATCCTATTAGCATAGATATGACATTTGCCATTTCTTGACACACTTAAAGCAATCTTTCTCTACTGTTAACCAAAAGTAACCATGCCTTTGAATTTGTTTGGCCATAGTGTGACCATTTGCATGTGTACCACATATGCCTTCATGCACCCCAACCATAATTTTCTTTGCTTCTTCTAACTCACATAACGAAGTAAGGTACCATCATAGCTCCTCTTGTATAAAACATCCTTATTGATAAAGAATGTCATAGCCAAATGATGAAGAGTTTTCTTTTCATTTTCAGTCATTTTAGTTGGGTATGACCTCTTAGTGTTATAGTCCTTAATGTCTTGAAACCAAGAAAGTTCATTCAGATAGTACGTTGGAAGCTTCTAGCTTTTACTTAAATATATTGGACATAGACTCCACAATTGAGTTACATCATTACTGCTAAAGTGGCTAAAGCATCGGTGAAATGATTTTTATCTCAAGTCAAGTAATGAAAGTTAACAACCTCAAAGTGCTTAATCAACTCTGTTAAGAGTTCTTGATAGGGAATCAATTTTGTGTTCTTTATTCTCCATCTCCTGTTATTTGATGAATGATGAGAGCTGAATCACTAAAAACCTTTGAGCATTATATGCTAAGGGTAATAGCTGCTCAAAGACCATTAACACAAGCTTCATATTTTGCTATATTATTAGTGCAATCAAATTCTAATTTAATGGCCCCTAAAAATTATTTCCCTTTTGGTGAAACAGTCATTACTCCTACCCCATTTCTATGCATATTGGCGGCTCCATCAAAATACATTTCCCATTCTTTTCCTTCACCATTCCCTTCATCACAATCTTCTTTTATAGTGCACATGCCTTTATTAGGAAATTGAAATTCTAATGGTTGGTTATCCCTTAAGGGATTATCAGCCAAGTGATCTACTATCACACTACCTTTGACTGATTTTTACATTACATGCTTTATATCATACTCAGATAACACAACTTGCCACTTTAATACTCTACCTCTAATGTGTGGGCTCTCAAAGATGTACTTAAG